TCTTATGCCATAACTCAGTAGAATGACTTTGAACGGCAGGCAAGGCAGTAAGATTATTAGGGACATCAGAAACGAAGTGGTATAATCCATCTCGTACTTCACTGGCTCTAATCAAATTCTTCATGCTTGGGTCCAAAAGATATAAAAAGTAGGAAAATGATAGAAGTACAATTCATGGAACTAGTTACAAAGAGAAGATTGTAATTGAAAGTTGGAACACAATACATTATCTATACTAATAGTTGGGCTCAAATTGGATTGCCCTACATGAGTAATGGAAGTAGTGCTACAATTAAGCGTGCAAATAGGTTTACAATTATAATTTGGAACGCAAGTTGGTAGCTTATAAGTGGAACCTCCGAAATCAATGATCCATGAGTCATCATTGTTTTTGTGAATGCAGAGAGAAATTTCCATGCCTGCAAAATTTGCAATAGTAGGTTAGGTTTCAACATTCAGTATAGACATCAATTGTTGATATTGGCTTGAAGTTAAGGAAGGAAAGTTCATCTTTAATGAACCTGAGACAATTGCACCATTGCTGATGAAGTCTACATCTGAACTAGTATTGATGTTCTGCTAGTCATGGTTAACTGACAGCATGGCTAAGTCGTGAGCGTGTGGTTGATAGCAGGATACCCCACTAACTTAGGATCCTTGGCCTTAGGATGACAACAGGATACCCCACTAACTGATAACACTTTGCTTTGATATGGCATTTGCGACCACAATTCTCAAAAAATGGACACGGCCTCATCCCGCCATAGCCCTCTCTCTTCCCAAAGTTTGATTGAGCCACAAGAGCAGCTGCTTCTCCTTACAAGGGTTGACAAATTTGCAGCCCCTTTTATTCTTGCAGAACTAGGTAGTAAACTTTTGTTGATATTGGGAAGACGATCCATAGCCGAGATTTGATTAAGAACAATCTCAAAAGAATCACTCAATCCCATTAGGAACTGGTACACTTGTTCGAGTTATTGTTGGGCCTGCATCTCCTTAGATGATCCACAAGTGCATACAAGGATTTTCGCATACGATGCTCGTTCGTCCCAGATGGCCATCATAGAAGAAAAATAAGAGGCCACTAAGGACCGCCCTTGTTGGATCATCAAGAGCTTCCTCTTGATATTATAGATCTTTAAACCGTTTCCTTAGGAAAATCTATCCTCAAGATCTGTCCAAATTTCATATGCGGTGTTTGCATATGCATCACTATCTACAAGATATTTGGAGAGTACATTAAGCAACCACAAAACCACGATATGGTTGCATCTATCCCAAGTCTTGACAGCAGTAAGTGGTTCAGATGGTTTTGGGAATGAACCATTTACAAAGAACAATTTATTTTTTGCTTATAAAGCCACGATCATGGCCCTTCTCCATGTTCTGTAGTTGTCTCCAAAGAAGAATTTAGAGACAAGCACGGCTCTGGGATTGTCAGAGTGATAGAGACAATAAGGAGAAGAGAAGTCGGAGGAAGAAGCATTGCTATTTTCAAGGGAAAGCTAAGACTCGTTACTTGATTACGAGTTTGCATCCTTTCAATTGTGTGTCATGGCTTCAAGGTGAATGAGAGATATGCCAAGCAAGTTGATTATGGACTTTTAATGCTTTGATACCATGCAAAATTCGTAATTAGAAGAAAAGGTGTGAATTGGTGTGTTTATTGATATGGGGCTATATATATAACAATATACAACTAGTATAATAATATGGAAAAGGTTTCTATTCTTCCCGTGCAACATAAAAGATATATACTTCCCCTTTCATCCAGCCGTCCAATTTAGATCTAGTAAGCCACTAACCACTTAATCTAGATCCGACATCTCAAAGTATTTTATTTTTAATTTTTTTTATACTAACTATATGACTATGAAATTTGTTATGTGCCATCATCTCAACGAGGCACACCTAAATAAAATATTAAAAGATCATTTTTGATAAAATACAATGACCAAAATACAATACAATAACCAAAATACAAAACAATAACCACAATAAAATACAATGACCAAAACAATATTGTATTTGATAAAATACAATAACCAAAATAACCAAAAAATTGAAATACAATAACCAAAACAATATTAAAATATTATTTTTGATAAAATACAATAACCATTTAATCTTTATTTTGATCAAGATTATTTTTAATTTTAGTCATTATATTTTATTGGGAATATTTTTTTAATATTTTTATAGGTATAAGTTCAAGATAGGATTGTACGCCCAAATGGTGCTAAAATGTTTTGTACAAAACAAATTAAAAATAAAATAGTATAGAGGGTGAAATTGTGATTGGGGCCATCTAAGCCGTCCATTTAGAATGGACGGGTGGATAGGGGGAAGTATAGAAGTTTTATGCTGCAAGGGAAGCATAGAAAGCTTGACCTAATAATATATAGCAATATCATTTGATTAAGAGGAAATATCTATAAACTAAAAGGTAATCAAACACTTGCAAATATGGTCAAGTCAATCTCTACAAAATAGGAACATAAATATGGCAAACTCAATCTCTACAAACTAGAAAAGTAAGTTGTACATTCCTCAATAAACCAGCTTTATAAAAACAAAATTCTAACCGCACTTTATATGCAATGTCATGAGATCAAACAAAGGCTGTTCAATATTTTGATGGTTAGATCCAAGTGTTTTAGAACTTTAGATCCTTTTTTTTTTTTTTGTTCTTTTCAAATACTCATCTAATGATTTTAAAATGGATCCCAAAATCATGTCGAGAAAAAAAAATTCCTCTTCGTAACTTTTTGCAAAAGGGAGTAAGTTTACAATGAGCTCCACTGGAGTACGCTATAAAAGCTTGTAACTATGTGGTTAGAAAGAGATTAAGAATCTGTGCGGAGAGAGATGATAAAGGATTTTAAGCTTAGTCATTATCTTTAATTATACTCCTTTAATCTTACAAATAGGACAGGTTCTTTGATTATTTGAAGTTTTCTTGTGTGTTCTCACGGCACAAATTAATTTATGTTTGTGATAGACGATGATATTTTGTCATAGTTGTTGGATTTGGTGCTATAAAAAATTACCCATATTAGAAAATCTCATGTGGGATTGAAATATTCTTGTGGAATTGAGATATTCTCATATTATGTGGGATTGAAATATTTCATGATTAGGTGAGATTGAGATTGATATTGATAAGTTTTTTCAATAGGAAGTTTGTTATTTAGTATGGATTCCTACCCTTATATATTGAAATTGATATTGATAAGTTTTTTCAATCAATATCAATCTCAATAAGAAGTTTGCTATTTAGTATGGATTCCTACCTTTATATATATATGGGATGAAAGTGCACAGAATTTGTGTGTGTCCTTTTTGGGTATGGTGGTTTTCTCTAGAGAGGGGGGCGGAGCTTCCTGTATATAAGATGCAAGGTTTCTTCTTAAAGATATGTGTATAAGATGCAAGCTTTTCTCTTAAAAAGAATATATATATGCAAGATTTCCTTTCAGAGAGAAAAGATATAGAGAGGAGACTCATGTGTATAAGATACCAGATTTTTTTTAGAAAGAAGAGATATAGAGAGAAACATTGTGATGATGCCTCTTTTTTTTCTTAGAGAGAAGATATATGGAGAGAAACATTGTGATGATGCCTCTTTTTTTTTCTTACAGATAAGAGATATAGAGAGAAACATTGTGATGGTATCTCTTTTAGATTCTCGAAGCCTCTTTTAGACTCATGAAGATTGAGATGCTTGTTTTTTTTTTTTTAGATAAACTGTTTCCATAAAGATTTTGAGTTATTTTCCTTTTTAGTTAGAGAGAAAGTCAATTTCTCGTTGCTCTTGCGTCTCGTCTCTATTTTGTGTTGTCGGTAATGGTTGCCAAAAGTAAATAAAAGGAAGAGAGAATGGTTTAAAAGAGTTTGATCTAGGTGAACCACATAAATTTTTATGTTATTGTGGTATGTGTTTCATATTTTATTCCTCATACTTTATTTACCAAAATTCAACCCATTGAGTTTAGAGCTTTCGCACAACAATAGTATGTCTACAACATGGAAAATAACAATAAAGCCCAATAAGAGCTTTTAATATCTGGTGTTTGGCTTTATTCTACCATATATGGATAACATTCCCAATCTTTGGTAAAAGCTCAAATGATCTTCTCCTTACCTTTCATTATATTTCGATACTTCATTAAAAATTGAATGTATGAGATATTCAAGAAGTCCACAAAAAATTTTGAACCTCTTCAAAATATTGTTCCCCTCGTAAATCATGGACTTTTTAATAAAATTATGTTGATTCATAAAATTTTTGGACACTCATTATTTTTGTTTTGTAGTACAAACTTACTTTTTAGCAATCATAATTTTTCATCATTCGGAGGGATAAAATAAAAATTTATATAAAAATCTAATGTCATTTTAATAGTGGCTAAAAAAATATTAATGTCACTGTGGTTGATGTCATATATCATATAAATGATGTTGTTATTCTCCACTATAGTTAATAAATATATGTTTTTTATGAAAAATCTTTAATTTTTTATTAATTACCTAAAATGCTCTTAGACGAATAAATTACGATATTGTAATGTAGGTAATAATAAAATACTCCTAAACAAATAAATTACTATATTGAGGGTAATAGTATCATATATAGAAAAACGTTAAGTATATTAAAAAAAAATACTGTGTCGAAGTACCATAACGGAACTTATTTTTTAAAATATATTTTATGTACTCTTCTATTGTAATCGAAGGTAAGCCTTTTCATACAAAATGACGGTTGGGTAGGTTGGCTTGGGCTAGACCTAGACTCAACCGTCCTGAATCCTCATTAGATGTGGACGCCACCCAATCGGATCCAAAAGATGAATCCCAACTTGGATCCGACATGTGTTTACCAACCGACCCGATCCAATTCACAGCCCACAGCCCTGTCATCACCCATCCCATAAACATTAGGGGTATTATTGTAATTGTCCCATCCTGTGCAGACTGAACTTTCATGGCGATAACATAATGGTCGAAATGGTAGTTGTCCTACTCCCCAACGATAAGCCTTAACTCCTTCTAGAGAGATTGAGATTATTAAAGTGGCCGTGCTCTCTTCTTGATCAAAATCCATTCCCCTTGTTCTCGTATAATTTACTCAGGGGTTCTATTTTGCTCTCTTTCTCTCTATCTCTGTTCCTCTCTCTCGCTTTAGATTTTAGGTAAGAACAATGAATATGAAGGTTCTGGTTGTGTCACGCAGCGGCAGAGAGATCATCAAAGGCGGGGTTGAGCTCAAAGAAACTGTAAGGATTGTTTAGAGTTCATATTGGTTTCTAGATCTGGTTTCTTCTGGTACTGTAACTTTTATACCCATGAAATCAAATCTCTCTCTCTCTCTCTCTCTATCTCTCTCTCTGTCTCTCTCTCTCTGTGTTTGTGAAGTTGGATAAGCTGCGAACTCGCCTTTGAATGCAAACTATAAGGGCTGAGATTGAGCTTCATAGTAAATCTGGAAATTTATAATCAATGCAGTGCTTTTCGTTCCATATTTTGTGATTTTCTTTTGGTACACTTTGCTGTTTTGAAAACACAATGTTTAATCCTTTATGCTTTCTTTTGATTTTGAATCCAAAATACAAATTTGACAGTAACCTTCATAGAAACACTGGAAATCTTCAAAAATCTTCAATTAATGCGTTTTTTCGATGACATGATATTCTACAGTTTAGGAGGAAGATACTCCCTCTTTAAAGACACTTTTTTTTAACAAAATTTTTTTTTATGTTATCCTTTTTGGGGCTTTTTCTAGCTTCAGAGGATTGCTTGTTGGGCTTTTGGAAAACTCTCTTTCTTCTCATCTACCTCCTCCTTGTTTCAAAATTTTATTAATCTTCACTTTATTTTGGGGGATCATATTAGTTGGTACATTAGAAAAAGTTCTTCCTCTTCTGCATTGTATGATCTTCTTCCAAACTTTTGGGGAAATATTTGAGCTAAACTCATAGGATAAAATCTAAGTTGAGAGAGTCGTTTGTGGTGGTTTGGTATTAGGAAGTGTTACCAAAAATTGCCCTACAGTTTCTGTAATTGGAAGGAGCACCAAACTTTGTGAAATTCAAGGAACTGTCATGTTATTCTCAAAATGAGAGTTTTAATCTTTGTTTCAGTCAATATGTTGTCTTTCTAGATAATGTTGTATTCTACAATACAGATTTTAATATTTAATACTCATATTGTAATTCTCCCTTTATTATTGCCTGAAATTTCTATTGCTAGGGATGATTTAATCTATTCTGAAAATAGTTTGCTTTGTTTTTTTTTTTTTTTTGTGCCAGAACTATGATGATTTTGTTGTTCTTAAAATACTTTGGGAACCCTGGTCTGCCATATCCTTTTTGTATTACTGATCCTTTATTTTACGTGAAAATGCCTAATTGTATTTTTCTTTTTTCATGTAGGCAATTGTGAGCGATCTCAACCGCGCAATTCACCACAGAAGTAAGTTCCGTTTCTTTTTTCCAATTCTTTTATTATGTTATGCTCCCATTTTTTCTGGAAACAAATGATAAAAGTTATTGACTTCGTATATGCTGCATCTCACGAATAATACTTGTTACATGTCATAAATCATGAATACTGGGCTATTCTCTCAGAAACTAGTCATTTATCATGCGGAACGACAAGGACGCTTTTTGGCTCAATTTTTGACAGTCGAGAATGTTTGTAATCATTTGACATAGTGTCTCATTTATGTTCCTCTAGCTTTTCCTACTATTCTTGAGACTCGTACATGCTGCCATGTTATGAGTAAGGCATATGAGTATGATACTAAAAAAATCATGTAATTCAGGGCTTATAATTTTTAGCAAAATTCTTGGCTGTTGTTGGATTGCTTTTGGAAATTCCTGCTTATTTAGGTGAATATATAGTTTTAACAGTTTTTATACATAATTTTTATAGTTTCTAAGTTTTCTTTAAATTCCAATTTCGAATGTGGAAAACACTGCCCAATTCTGTTATAGACAGTAAGACAAGCATTGCCTTTCTTTTGTAATTGGTCAAAATATACCTCTCAAGTTTAAAAGTTTTACAGTGTTCTTTGGAATACGAAATCATTGTTGTGTTGTGTGAATGTTGAGAAACCTTTACCAGGTGCTTGTTCTGGTCTTAATTCGGAAAAAAACTGGAGTTGCTATGATTTCTGGTTGATGCTTGGATTTGATCTCCATTTCCAAGCCCCAGTGTTCTAGAACACGGCTCTAGTGGCAGACTCCGCCCCTGCCCGATCCGAGTCATGCCCGAGCCAAGACAAAAGCTAGAAAAGGCCAAAAATCCCCTTGGGTAACCTATTCCATCCTCAGCACACTGCTTAGGTTGAGTGACTCGCCCTAGTCCCAGTCGTCTCGGGCGAGTTTCGAACACTGCCAAATCATTATAGCCAATAAATTAATTTATTATATCCCAAAATTTTAATTAGTCTCATTCATGAGAATAATCTCCTCTTTTCAGTTGCTGGTTTTTTCTTTTGTTTGCTTTTATTAGTATCGCTTATGGAACGTGACATACGCCATGTCCATTCTTGCCGTTGCTCTATAAATTATTGCATTTTTTCACTTGTTTAGGATAATTGATCCTCATGTTTTCTGCTGTTGCCATAGGAAAAAGACTTGTCCATGCTCAAACTAACATTTGGTCCATGACCCATGTCTATTAAAAACCATTTCTAGGAAAATTATTAACTTTCCTTTTTTCTCTTGTTTAAGAAAATTAAGTCCATCCCTGTGATAAAAATACTAGTTTCAGCTGAAACTGAAATTCACCATGAAAGCATATCCATTTTAGCCCCTTTTGTTAAAATAAATCTCCATTTATTCAATGCTTTAAGAAAAGCCCTATTTGTTTGCTCTTACTGTGAAGAAACACCAATCCAAGCTGAAACTAACATTTGGTCCATCACCATTTTCAAAAAAGTTAAATTACCATTTCTTAATTTTGAAGAGAAATAACTCCATCTCTCTTGCTTTTACAGTGAGGAAATACTATCCTTCAAGGCAGCGTCTCACTCTGCCTTTGCAACCTGGCTCTCAAGGGAAGCCTGTGGTCCTTGACCCGAGAAAAAAGGTTAGAGAATATTTCCGTGGAAACGAAGAGAAATTAACAGTGGTGTTAAAGGACTTGGGCGCTCAGGTCTCTTATAAAACCCTTTTCTTTTGGGAGTATCTTGGCCCTCTGATCATCTACCCCATTTTCTACTACTACCCAGCTATTTATGAATACATCGGTTATACTGGTGAGCGTATAATTCATCCAGCTCAAACCTATGCCATGTATTACTGGTGCTTCCATTACTTCAAGAGGATCATGGAGACCTTCTTTATTCACAGGTTCAATGACCTTCCCATTTCTCCATTACTTAGTTGCTTTTGTTTTATCTCATTTGGACTGGTAAGCTGATTCTCATCACTATGGCACAAACAATATTGGAATCACAGAAAAAACCACAAAGTATCTCTCTCTCTCTTGCTCTCTCTTTGTTGTTCTGTGCTGTGTATGTGTGGATTGCTTGTTTATTTTGTCACTGATGCCCTAAAATTTTTGCCTTTATGAGATAATAAACAGATTCAGCCATGCTACGTCGCCTCTCTCTAATGTTTTCCGCAACTGTGCTTATTACTGGAGTTTTGGTGCGTACATTGCTTATTTTGTCAATCACCCTCTCTACACCCCAGTTAGCGATCTTCAAATGAAGGTGGGTTTTGGGTTTGGGCTTCTTTGTCAAGTGGCAAACTTCTATTGTCATATATTGTTGAGGAATCTAAGGGGCCCAAGTGGTGAGGGGGGTTATCAGATCCCTCAAGGCTTTCTCTTCAATCTCGTGACCTGCGCAAATTACACCACAGAGATTTATCAGTGGCTGGGTTTCAATATTGCTACTCAGACAGTTGCAGGTTATGTGTTTCTTGTTGTGGCGGCGTCTATCATGACCAATTGGGCCCTAGCGAAACACCGCCGATTGAAGAAGGTATTAGTATTATTTAATGAAAAATATCTTGATTTCTTATTCAATCCTGCAAAATGGTCGTATGAGAGTTTCTTATTCATTTTTTTTTGGTTCTTTCCATAAGTGCTTTCTTCATGCTGTGGGTGTGTGCGCGTGCTTGCATGTGAATGTTTGCGTGCCTGTATCGCAAGTTTGTTGGAATAAAGTCGTGTTTGAATGTGAATAAAAGTGAAGACTCTTCTCATTACTGGGTATTTTAGAAATTTGGAATCCCACAAAAAAAAATTTTTCCAATTCGTTGGAGTTGCTTAGAGATTTTCTAAGACAAAACAACTTACTAATCTTTGATTGGGAAATCAGCTTGCTGAGAGCTTGCTTATAAAGATTTGTCACTTTGTGTTTAAGCAATTGTCTTTTAAACTATATTTACGAGGGGGCATACCGTAGCATGCTCCCATGTGAGGATGCAGTATCCTATTACTGTTTGATGGTGGATGCTTGCTAGGGAGCAAAGGGGAGCAAAAATATACTTGATTCTTTTCAGATTTCAGATTTAGTATATCATCTAAGCATGTAGAAAAGTCCAGTTATTAGTTTTTGATGTAATTCTAGTTTTCGGTGACTATATAACCCCAATTATTACTGTAAAAGAGATAGATAGCCCCTGTTATTTAAACTTGTACTCAGTGATTCAAAATTAGGCAGAATTGGCCAGTTCCTGGTTTGGACATCAGAGTCCCCCACAAAATAGGGACTCGAACCATTTCTTTTTTAGCATTGCTGTCATAGAAATGTTGTTTTTAGAATGATTCGAGAATTGTAAAACTTGTTTAAAATATTTAAACTTATATTGGGATTTACATTCGTAGGATTAGGAAGTCGAAAGTGAAAGAAGCTTTGAAAAGAATGAAGATAGGAAAGGCTTTAGGACCGGATAGTATCCCAATAGGGGTTTGGAAGTACGTGAGGGAGATTGGCATTGATTGATTGATGAAGTTGTTCAACAAGGTGTTGAGGACAAAAAAAATGCCAGATGCATGGAGGAAAAGTATTGTGGTACCTATTTACAAGAACAAATGAGATATATAAAATTGTGCGAACTATCGAGGGATCAAGCTTATGAGTCATAATATGACACTCTGGGAGAGAGTGATTTAGCAATGACTAAGGCATGAAATGAATGTTTTTGGAAACCAATTTGGTTTTATGTCAAGAAGGTCAACAATAGAGACAATTTTCCTACTTAGGCAACTGATTGAGAAGTTTAGGACAAAGGGAAAAGACCTCCACGTGGTTTTTATTGATCTAGAAAAAGTTTATGATAGAGTACCTCAAGATTTGATTTGGCAGGTGTTGGAAAAGAAAGGGAGTGTCCAGAGAATACATCAACTTGGTGAGAAATTTGTATGATGGAGCACTAACTAGTGTACGAACAATTAGTGGAGAGACGGGTGAGTTTTCAATGACAATAAGTCTACATCAAGAGTCAACATTGAGCCCGTACCTCTTTGTCTTAACTATGGACGACTTAACTAGGCACCTACAAGATGAGATACCGTGGTGCATGTTGTTCGCAGATGAAGATCGATGAGACGCGAAACGACATCAACACAAAGTTAGAACTTTGAAGGGATGCTTAAGAATCCAAAGGTTTTAAAATTAACATGACTAAGACAGATTATATGGAATGCAAGTTTAGTAATAATAGGAGTAAAGACGAGGAAGTAGTTAAGATTGACGACAAGGAAGTACAGAAAAAGAGTGCACTTTCGATATCTTGGGTCCATAATACAGGAAAATGGAGAGATTGAGGAAGATGTCGCACACAAAATTAGAGCTAGGTAGGCGAAATGGATATGTGCAACTAGAATTATGTGATCGTCACATACCAATGAAGCTAAAGGGCAATTCTATAGGATCGTTGTGAGACCAGCTTTGCTCTATAGGGCTGAATGTTGGGTGGACAAAAACCAATATACCCATACAATGAGTGTAACGAAGATGATGATGTTAAGATGGATGAGTGGCAAGTCAAGAAGAGATAGAATTCGAAATGAATCCATTTCGGAGAATTTAGGTGTGGCACCAATAGGCAATAAGATGAGAGAGAGTAGACTTAGGTGGGCTGGTCATGTGTAGCACCAACCAAGTACAGTACCTCTTAGGAGGTGCAAGCTAGTTCAAGTAGAAGGATATAAAAAAGCAAGGGTAGGCCCAAAAGGACGTGGTTGAAAGTAGTTTGGAAAGATATGGGGACTTATGGCCTCACTGAGGGTATGGTCTTTAATAGCAAAATGGCTAACCAAGATTCATATAGCTAATCTCAATTAATTGGGAAAAGGCTATGATGATATTTAAGTATGAGATTGTATATTATGAGACCATTTATCTGTGGTACAAGGAAGTTACAATTACTCCTAGCCATTAGATGTCAAATTGGATTGCTTTTGATGTGTCACGAAGTCTGAGGTTTTTTATTTATTTATTTTTAACTGTGTCTAGTCAATGATACTCTTATAACAACTTATTCTGGCATACATGAGTAATTGTGACCTATATGCACCAAAAGTAGATGGTCTCTTTCTATACTTTTCCTCTAAGGATTACGTTTTTTTTCTATATATTTTGCTGAATCAGCCGAGTTGGCCGGTTCGGACCAGAATTGGTGGGTGGCCGGTTCGGACCAAACCTGGTGGATGACCAGTTCAACCCACAAGTTTAATATTTTAAACAATGCTTATACATCTTACATCCTGTTCAAATCCATGCACTTATTTGAGTTGCCACAATTGTAATGTGTAACCTGATGCTTCTTAAGCATCTTTTTAGCATTGCATACCTTTTGATAATATCCTGCAAATATTTCCACACAATGGACAAAACACCTCGATCTTTTGCAGAGCAGAGAAGAACATCTTGCGTTTTCTCTAGTTATAAGCCTCTACATGAAGTCAGGTGTTTTTTGCTTTCTTCATTATTTATTGGGATTCATTCGTGAAATTTGTAGGATTGCAAAGTGGAAACAATGAACTGTTGGATTTCCTTTTTGTTCTAGATTCAGTTTTCAAACTTATCTTCATCAAAATCCTTGTGATCTCCTTTTCTTTGCCCTTTTTGTGTTTTTTCTTCTTTCTAGTCTATTGCAAGCATAGCATATAAAACCATAGTTACTTTCCTTGCAGATATTTGATGGGAAAGAAGGGAAACCCAAATATCCAAGACGATGGATGATACTGCCACCTTTTCTATGAGAACCCTTGCTGTGATCTGCCTTATCCATATTTATCTCAATTAAGTGCATTTAGATAGCAGATATTTGTATCAGTGTTAGAACCAATATAACTTCAGAGCATTTGCTCAAACTTGATTCTCAGTTTGTCAAGCTTTCATTGATGTATTTTGAGTGCATTTTGATCTTCAAATTATTGGGACTTAAATTCAGTGTGCACAACACCCAACAAAAACCCACTGAAAGAAAAAATAAAAAAAACGAAGGCATAATAAATTAAGAAAAGGAAAAAATAGAACTCTTAAAGGAGAATCCTGAAAGCCACTTTACACTGATGTTTTGGTGAATCCTGGTGGTTGTGACCCTCTTTGGTCCAATTGTCTAGTAATTTTTTAGATAATGATACCATCACTAAGAAAAGAACAAAGCCGGGTAATTAATATATGTTCAATGGTGGGTAAAGTATCCATAATAATATCAAGGAAATTGATATTGAGAATTGAGCTTTTATCATGCGGAGCCTTGGTACGGTAACAATTGCTGTTGAAACTTTGAAATGATTTCAAGAACAAAAGCCCAGCGGTGTCATGTTGAATTCGTGTGAGACAAAATTCTTGTGGCAGATTTTTTTTTGATAAAAAAATTCTTGCGACTGATTTCTGTAAATAAATTCAGATAATAAAAAGATATAATAAATGGGAAGTGGCATCTACATTATATTCTACATAAAGACATTGGATATAACTTTTTTTGTTATAAAAGTTCATTGGTAAAAGTTGCAATTAAAAAAATGGTTCGGGGAGGTTGCCTACAAAAATGATCATATATCTTGAGGCCAAGATGATCAATTACTGGGTATTTCAAAATTAAAATGACCTTTTTTTTAATGGACTTTTAAGGTACAGTTTAATTCTAGTTGACACCTTATATAAAACATTTTAAGTAAAAGTTGGGTCTCTGTCTTTAAGTTGTGGTCAGATGAGTTAGCTTACTTATAGTTCCCTTATCTTCGATAT